AAAAATATATATATATAATTATTTTAATTAATTGTGAGGTACTTATTTTTGCCCAAATACTTAACTGCCCTTAATACTTAGTTTCCTCAAAATCACGATATGCAAGAAATGAACGTTAAAAAGATATTTTTCATGAAGATAAAAAACCTTTTCACATGCAAAATAGCTCATTGTTGCTTTTTTTCCGTTCACAAGATCACTTATTCATTTTCAAGGCACATATCTAAATGCTGGTTCATAAGATTTTCTGATATTATCTGCATACATACTGGACAGGGATATTTATTCTCCTTAGAGTTATTTTCTATGGCAAGCGCATCATCATTATCATTATCTTTATCTTCATCATCGTCGTCGTCGTCGTCGTCATCATTCTTATCATTCTTATCATTCTCATCATCCTTTATTATCATATTGTCATCACTAAAGACGCTTCCAATGCATTCTTCTAAATGTTCATTTAATGATACCTCGGGTGCGATTCGTGCGTTACAAACCAAACATTTCTGCTCGACATCCGTTGTGTCGCTTTTGTCGGTGCTGGTACTTGCGCAAGGTTGAGGTGTTGTGCTCTCAACAAGTATAGAATCACTCAAGTCGGAATTAGAGGAACTACTTATATTAATTACGTTGTCATCGTATGATGCACGTGAAGTAGAGGGAATGGCAGCTTTGCGAGCTGTATCAGCTTCCAGAAGGCATTCGTCTAAATGCTCATTGATGTTTGCTGATGTGATCATTCTACTACAAACGGGACAGCTGACGTAGTCAGCCGTGTCGCTTGAATCGTCTGACTTCAAACGCTTATTAGGAATATCAACGTCTGTTGGTGGCAGCGAAAGCATTGGTAATGTTGGTTCCTCTTCGTTGGTAAATGGTAACATCAATTCGTTATTATTATTATTATTATTGATGTTATTGTTAAGCTCATCAACTAATGAAGTAGCATTTATTAGGCATGAATCTATATGTCTATATATATTTTCCATAGGTACGTTACATATGGGACAAAATGCGGTTCTCGGTTGCCTCTGTTGATTCTGTTGATTTTGTTGATTTAAAACTGGATGGCGGGTGTGCAACAGTTGCCGAGCCGATTCTGACGGTAAATCATTTCCACTTGATTCAGGCCGACGCGAATTTCGCTTTTCCTCGTTTACAAGTGGAAATTTTTTTAAGAGACTACTTCGACCACTGCTACTGCCTCCCAAAACGCCGGAACAAGAAAATGTAAGAGATTTAGAAGGTTTATCCTTTTCTACTTTCGGCCCACTACCGGCCCAGTAATGGGACGCATTACTGCCAAGGGTGCCTACTTGTTTCCATCCTAGCAAAAAATCTTGAGTATTCTCATTCACAGCACGAGACGAATTTGTACTACCATTGCTCTCCTTACTACTACTAGGCTTATCATTGTTCGTTTGAGTGAATAATTTGAAGTCGTTTTGAGTAAAAACTTTCGAAGATGTGGGTTTAGCTGCATTTATCGGAGTATTTGTTAACCAATCAGAGATATTTCTATTCGGCTTTTTATTCTTCAATATCGATTTTGATTTTTCGCTTTGCTTTGGACGTGATTTAAAATTCTCGGGCTCTTTTATCTTTATAAAGTGACCGCCACAATTAACTTCGTGTTCGCGCCACCAGAAATCTGACGGACCGGGTGCACGATTCATAGCCCGCCGTACCGTCCCAAAGAATGGAGGTTTGTATCGACAAGGTCCATTGCATTGCCACCAATGCTGTTTGTAGAGTTTTACTTCATTATGGAAGTTGTGATAAATCTGCATTTGTTTAATGTAATAAAGTCATGTTATTATAGAATTTAAAAAATTTTTTTAAAAATTTGCATCAAAAATCAAATCAAATTTAGTTAAAAAATTATTTTTATAAGACTTTAGATTATTCCATTTATTGTGATAAATTACTTCTAGACAGTTTAAAAAATTATTTCAGTTCAATATGTATTTTAGAAGAAACATAACATGATATAGCATAATTTCAATTTTGAAATGAATAAGTTATTGACTCACCGTTATATTAGTTCCTGCTTTTTTATTTATCCTGTTCATATGCTTGCAAAAATTTGGTCCATGACCATCTCTGTCGCGATCATTATTTGTCAAGAATAAATATGCATGGATCATCTCGTGCTACAATATGATAAAAATATATATTTAAAATAGTTCAATATATAAAAATTTACCACTTTCTAATTATTAAATACATTGGAAAGCTTACCAACAAGGTTTCCACAAGATCTTTTCTTGGTCTTAATATGAGTAATGGTGCACTGAGTGATATTATACAATGTTTATTACGCCGGTGAAAGGAACAAATTCCAGCACAACTGTCAAAAAAATTAGATATGTAAATATTAATGCACAAATAAATTTTATAATGCAGGCTTTACTGTATATTTAAAATAAAGAATTTATCTAACCATTTAAAGTCTACATCACATAAGAAATATTTACCTTGTCATTCTTTTGCTCCACTTGACTTCAACAGGCGACAAAACATTCCAAAAGAATGTTGCATTAAATTGTACAAATAACTTGTAAATATTAGGCGTAGGATCAATCAATTCCAATGCTTTATCAACCAAACATATATGAAAAGCATTTTCCTGAAAACAAATCATTTTCATTTTCAAATCATGCAACTCTACAAATTTATTTTTAATACAATAACAATTTTCTTGAAAGAATATATAATTCCTTAACAATAAATACCTTTTCTGCTACACCCATGCGATTCAATCCATGCATATCGTATGCCACGTGAAAATCTTGCGTTTTCTGAGATGCCATTATTTTCTCACAACCTTTGTCCTATTCCACTAAACCGATATTCTAAAACACTTTATGTAATAATCCTTATTTATTGAGATATTTTATATCAAGTAAAAATAAATAGAGGAATATTTCGGAACATTCCACAAAACATATCACAAGCTCGCACAATACAAATTACATCCATCTGAAATGATTTGGAATCTTCGCGATGATTGTTGAGCTTGTTGAGTTTAGAACGTAGAACGGTTGAGAAGATGAGAAGACCGATGAGAAGGATAGTCAGAAGAACATAAAGGAAGATACACTAGGAGCGGAAAAGCAGAATCAAGAATAATGGAATTTTTTTATCCAATCAAAACTCTCGTCAAATAGAACAGTCTCTCGTCGTAGAAGACAAAAAACAGAACGATACTGACTGCTACCAACACAAATTTTTTTTGGCATTGAAAATTGTGGATGTTCCTAGAATAAATCTTCCTAGAATAAATCTTCCTTATTTCCTAGCATTCTGTTTCGTGCGTAAAATATGAAAATATTTATGTATATTCTTGAAAAATCGTGTTTAAACTGATAATTTCGGCGAATTTTCAAGGATATTAAAGAATACGTACTCAAACTGTTGTTGTCTCTTACTAAAATATGTTTCCTTGATAATTTTGATGATTTTACAAATGCTGCATTATTACGAAGCGAGGTTAAAGGCTTGTCGAATAACTGCTGTTCAAATAAATTTTTTGACAATTAGTGTGTGATAAATATTGTCTCTCCTGCTTTCACATTTAAAGAACAATTATGGTACGATATTTTCTTAGATTTTCGTACATTGGTACAAATTACAGGTACAATATAAAACACTTCAGTTTACCGGGCATATTTTTATCACAATGATTCTCGTTTGCGTTAAATCTATATTTTATTTTTTTTAATCATGAAATGTAAAGTATTATCATTTTTGTAAAGAGGTTTGCAAAAACAGAACGTTGGCGATATATTCATTCGAGATACAGATTCCGTTCAAGGTGCTTTAGAAACTGCTTTATTAACCATCGTTCCAAAGAGCCTGATTAGACCGACTGTAATTCTTTCTAGCAGGTAACTTTTCTATATTTTATGTCTTGTGCAATTTATTGTATTATATATTATCTTATCTCTCATGATATAAAATATATATTTCAGAACAGATGCTGGAGTTCATGCTTTATGCAACACTTGTCATGTAGAACTTGAAAACAAATACAATCATATATATGATTCATCAAATGTAAAAAAGTTTGTCAATCGTTATTTTGGCAAATGTGGCCATACTATTAGGTAATGGATAATTTTTAACGACACCCTTTCTAATGTAGTGTATGATGTCAGTACATCTTTAATATTTATTAAATCTATCTTTTTAGATTATTGGATAGTATACCTGTGACACTTGATTTTCATGCCAGATATTCATGTAAATCTCGTACTTACATCTATAGATTTATGATACCTAAAGTACCTGAAGAACAACGGGTGTCTCTTCCAGAATTGACACATACTCATCACGTAAGGTAGATATATAAAGAAGTATAAACTAATATAACTTTATCTTATTGTAATTGTATGTCTTAGGGCACATGATTTTGATATAGATAGAGTAAAACATGGTTTACAATTGTTTATGGGAAGGAAAGACTTTACTACATTTAGTGCAAAAACAGTAACAGATCGTAAAATTCGCTATGTACGTTCCTTAGACACTTTTACTTTGGAAGAGGCATCACCTCTGATGCCCTTTGATCCATATTCTGAAAATTTTACGTATTGGCACTTTACATGTAAATCAAAATCTTTCTTGTACAATCAGGTAATATTTTAATATCATAATCAATACGTTTTTAGTACAAGTGTTATGAATGTGTCACAAGGGATGCTTTCTCTTTACAGGTCAGACGAATGGTCGGAGCTTTAATCTCATTAGGATTAGGAAGAATAACAGAGAAAGATATTATTGTTATGTTACAAGTTCCTTCGCATTATAATTGGAATCCTCGTGTTACACCTGTACCACCACATGGTTTGCATCTTTTGTATCCAGAATACGATCCTGATGAATTAAGACGGTGTACTATATTGACCGAGCAAGAGCAGGAATCGCAATTGGAGAAACAAAAATTGCAAATGGAATAGAAGTGGAAACTGTGATGGAAAATTCCATTTTGTCACATTGATGATACATAACATAAACATATAAGACGGTTTTTAGAGCCATTTTTCTATATATTTGTAAGTGTATGGATTTTTTTATGAAATGGCTCGTAGGTATCACGTTCAATGCAAGTATCTGAAAAGTAATTAATTAGTCTTCCCATAATGAATTTGCGAGATCTTATCGCAGAGAAAAAATCGTCATTAAAATCCTGTAAAACAGTAATAACGGATCCACTCGGCAATAAGTACGAAATTGACCATGGCAGTGTGAAGGAACTAGAGAAAAGCCTGCCATTCGTAGTGGACAATAAACCAGACTTACATGTCGCTAATGTAATACCGGGATTGTATCTCAGCTCTCAAGATCCAGCGGTTTGTAGTGATATATTAAAGAAATACGAAATACAGCATATTTTAAGTATAGGTGTCGACATTTCTGAAAAATTTCACGATATTCAATATCATAACTGCGACTTGTTAGACTTGCCAGAATCGAATATAATACCGTCTATAAAGAAATGCATCGATATTATACATACGAATCGCAAAGAAAATATTCTTGTGCACTGCAACGCCGGTGTTTCTCGCTCCGCCGCGATCGTTATTGCTTATTTAATAATTATAATGAAATTATCGTACGACGATGCTTACAATAAAGTGAAGGCAGTGAGAAGTTGTATTAAGCCTAATGACGGATTCGTGAAACAATTACGTAGTATTGAAAATACAACCTTCGACAAATTATAAGCATTTTTTTTAAATGTAACAAAATCATGTGTATGTAGAAATCTAATATGAAATATCGTATTGTACATATACTGTATAGCGATATTGAAATTATCGACATTATCATAAAAACTGTTCATCGATTAAATATTTATCCTATTTAATTTGAATGATGTAACTGACATTAGAAAGGTTGGGATGAAATACGCATATAAAAAATGGATCAATGAATGTAATATATTGTTACAATAGAATCCACGTGTTATAACATTATTTACTTATGTGTACAGAGAATATTGTTTCATATAATTACAATATATTTTATTATAACTCATTAGAAAATTATATTCATGCACAGCATCTGTCAAATTCTTAGCCAAAACTAAGTATTAAAATTTACTATTCTGGCTTTTCTTACATTTACCATGCATTGGAGATGACACATAGGTCGCTGTACCAAGTAGATTTATAAAAATTACTGTAAATCTAAAAAATATAAGTGAATTTCTGTATACATGATAATTCTATTATTTCATTCATAATAGTAGTGTATCATTGTACCTGTGTGTGGTACCTATTACCTTTCTCTCTCTCTCTCTCTCTCTTTCTCTCTCCCTCCTATTACATATTACATATTGTATAGAATAATTATTATCATATATTCATATACGTGTTTACATGTGATGTGTATATATACAGGTCGTCCCATAATCACCGGATGATACTTTAGGAACAGATTGGTTGACTATTCCGAAATACATTTTTTTACTTAATAAAAATATCGTGGTGTAAGTAATCTTCAAAATTCCCCATTTGCACGTGGGAGATTTTTCACAAATAATTCACCTATCCTAGCGTAATTGAGGCACAAAACTTAGTCTGTTAAAGTTAAATCTTAATTCGAGACAGATTTCACTGCTACTTATTATTGAAATGTAAAAGGGTACAACAAACGGCCTTTTGATATCTCCACTAAGAAAGGGTGGGCTCTCTTCGAATTCCTGAATGCATCTACTCCGAAAGTATCATTCAATGGTTCTCAGATACCCCGGATAAATACAATACATATATTGTATTTATTTATATGTATAATAAATCTAGTATTCACATTCCTCCAACAATTGAAATGAGCTGTCTTGAAGAAAATAGACAAGGCACTTGAACTAAATATCCTTTTCTTAGCTAGTTGGCCTCATAAATAGTAGAATGCAAGGACTTGCACATCAAACGGTATACGAAACAGTAAAATAGGACAAATAAATAAAGCCGGCTATCAAAAGGAATTCGTGTATCGTCCACTATTGATAACATCAAGACTCGGTTTGACCATTCTCTGCAACGGTGCCGATATTTTTACATATGTCTTAATACGGCCTTAAGACATAAGTCTCATGCGGCGCAGGATCAAGGCCTTCTATATATTATGTTCCTTGAACATACAACATTGCGACTGCTTGATAAAAGTAAAAATAGTATAATTCCAATTCACGTTTTGATGTTGAAGATACAAGGAAAATGATCTTTATGTACTTTTGTGAGCAATGAAAACGCGACGAATGGCGTAAGATATATTCCCTCGCCTTTGTAAGACAGGAAAACTGAGCATCGGAAATTTATTTCACTCATGAAAACTATTAGTTTTATATCCTCAATTGCATCAGTTGTTCAGATTGTATTTGATGAGTATGCGTTCCATGCATCGACAGCTTTCTCGTTTACATTGCATTCAAATTTTGGAGACTTGAACCAAGTTTGTAATGACTAATTAATATAATTAAAAATTGTGAATTCCTAAGGAACAAGCATTTCCTTAAAAATTGTCTCTCTTTGTTTGATTCGTGAAAATTTCACAGTATAAATTTCAACAATTTCGTGATGTAGTTTGAAAACCACTTCACTCAAGTGGCACAACGCAACGAGAAAATGCGATATATGTACAAAAAAATATAAATAAATTAACAAATTATGCTAAGTTCAACGAAAAACGTATGACTGTTTATGAACAGTATACGTAGTACATTATCTGTGAAAGTAATATAATACACGAATAAATTGGCCAGATCCTGCAGAAAGAAACTAACGCACGAAAATTCCTTCCTTATCGTAAAGTCCAAATTCCATTCTACAATAAAGAATATTGCAGAATATGGTTAGTTTTATTTCCCAACTGTGTGTGAGCTAGATCCCTTTCTGCAGAACTCTGATCCGATTATTTCCCACGAAGCCACAGTCTTAAGTACAACATATCTGTATCTGGAAGGCATATCATTTTTAAAATGAAAGCCACGAGAGATTGAACCGTGCATACGTATATGAACTGGACCGGGTGGCGCGACGACAAATTGAGAACAACATGCGTTGCAGTTACAGATATATAGGACATCGGTATTATGAATTGTAAATATAAACATCATCGTCGAACGTTGTGTGTAGTAAACCAGTGTCAGAGTCCAATAGAATGGCCAGGTCGTATGCAGCAACAACGTCAGTAATGGAACAGGGAACCACCCAACACAAGTGCATATGCGTGTATATAATGTGTCTGTGTATGTGTCTCTTTGTGTGTGCGTGTGTGTGTGTGTGCGTGTGCGTGTGTGTGCGCGCGCGCGCACGTGTGTGTGTGTGTGTGTGTGTGTGTGTGTCAGCTTGTGTACGTGTGAATACGTTTGCAGTGTTTTACATACCGTTTGTCAGAGGAAAGTTACCTTACAACGTTAGCTTACGTTCCATCAATTGATTTTCCTTAGCGGATTTAGATTCTATGTTTTAACGCTTAATTCCCCAAGGGCCGTCCGGGGGTGTCGCCACGGGTACGTGAGAATAGCCAGCGAACTGTGGAAACTCTTCCACGCTGGCTGTATTCGGCGCGCTCTGCGGCTGCTGCTGCTGCTGCTGCTGCTCCCACGGTCCTCCCTTCACGATGAAACCGCTGTCGTTCTCATTGCCACCGGCATTGCTGCCGTCATCGCGCTGAGGCGAGCGCAGGCTCTCGCGGTATTCGTTGTCTATTACATCTTGCATCTGTCGTTATCAATATTTTTTTTATTATTTTAATTGTTCAAGTGATCATTTCTACTTACGTCACAAACACGACGGACACTACTCACGTATTCCTCCTCGAGATTTAGCAGGTGATCTTTTGCATCGGCTACATTCTCTTCCGCACCCACGATCGTTACAATGTCAGGATCGGCATCGGTTTTCCTCGGAAACTTTATGTCGACTTTATGTTCATCCATGATTTTACGGATATTTCTACCCTTGGCGCCGATCAAGCGCGAATGCACAGCAGCATTTATTTTCACTTCCTCCTTCGTCAAACCGTTCTGGAGTAAGCAAGAGAAAATGAGTCGTGATGCTAAATATGTTGTAATTTTAACAAAGTGTTTCTGTTAGGACAGCGATAAAAATTGACTCACCAATTCGTTGACGATCTTCATAATATCATCGCGCGCACTGTACGCATTCTTTTCATATCCTGTTATTGTAATAATATGTTCTTCAGGATCACCTTTGCGTGGGAAATTAATTTGAACATCGTGATCGCTACGTATTTTACTGATCACAGCTCCTTTCCGGCCGATTATTTTCGGATGATATTCTGGATCGACTTCGAGCTATGATGAATAATGTATGCATAATATTAAATTAACGCTTTCTTTCCTTAGAAAACAAACGCTATCTTTTTCAAAATTGATTATTGGAAAATTGATCGTAGAAAAAAATTTACCTTCAATTCAAAAGATTTTAGTGCACGATCTTCTCGTTCGGCTTTCAACGCCTCACATTTTTCAAGGATGGCTTTCTTGGCACTTTGAACACACGACGGTGTTCCAGAGATCTGAAATAGATAAGAGATAAGAAACAAATAAAGAATGGGAAATAGAATATTTACATTTCAAATCTAGTAAAAAGTCAGTGTAAAAAAAAAAAGTTAATTACTTTGATATAATCCAATTTTTCTTCGGCCGGGGAAAGCATGATGTGCACATCATATGTATTCATTAACTCTCGTACATCTTTACCCTTTTGACCGATTATTGAACGGTGGAAATCAAACGGTACATCCACCTAAGTGTAAAAAAGAAAAATTTTGTTTAAGATCTGTTTTATAACTGCGAGATCAATGTACTGATGCAAAAATATAAACTAACTTGAATCGTAATGGGTACGAGATCGAGTAGAGCTTGTTTAGCACCAGCAACATTCTCCGGTTGTCCGGTGATGCGAATTATATCGCAGGCTGGAACAGTTTCCGCAACTACTCCATTTTCACCATTAACTTGTTCTGGTGCCTTATGCTCGTCTAAAATTATATCATACAAATAATTATGGTTTTTACTAAAAATTCATAAAGAAATTTTGTACTCGATTAATTTATGCATAAGAAAAACAATCAATACTAACCATACACATCGCGATCGGGGAACTTGATTTGGACATCATATTCGGATGTTATGTTTTGCACCTTGCGACCCTTCGCACCCATCACCGTGCGATGATGCTTTTGAGGTATTACACACTCCACCGTCACCATAGATTCCTTGATAAAGAAGATGGGTAAGTGATAGATGCATAATGCACGATCACATTAGTGTTCTTCGCAAACCACGTACCAATTCCTGAACAATTTCTCGCATTCGCTGTTTCGCAGCTTCTATGCATTCATGCGAGCCCTTCAGAACGACGCGATCGCTATCGACGCCAGCTCGCGGGAACGAAATTTGCACACCGCCGCATTCGTCAGCAATTCGGTGCAGCACACCGCCTCTTCGCGCCACGAAATGTCTGTGGTGCTTGGGATCGATGTAAATTTCACCCTCGATAATGTTGTCCTGAAAACACATTAAAAGGAATTTTAGAGATAAGATATATCTACGTATACCGATTGGTCGATTAGAAAATAACAAGCGCTATACAATTTCCTTAATCGTGGCTTCTAATTCGGCTTTAGCTTTCTCAACAGCGTCCTTCTTGCCCATAATTGTAATCACTTCTTTATCTTGATCCTCCTCCGTCGGGAATATAATTCGTGCGCCTGTGGATTCTCTTATCTATAAGAAAAGGCGAATTGAAATCCAGTTCTTAAATAAGATCTAGGAATACAGATGTACACTGCTTTCACGTATCCTACTTTCTTGATGTTGGCACCATTCTTTCCGATGAGGAATTTGTGATGTTGAACTTTGGCACGCACTTCAGTTGAAAAGCTGGATAACTGTTTTTCATTGCTTAGTTCTAAGAGTTGGGCCTTTGCTTTCTCCACATCGTCCTTTGGACCTCTGATGCTGACCTATAAGCATATTATTTATTGTTAATTGTAGAATTTCAATTTTAACCAAAATTAAATAATTGTGTTTTTTTTCTTTATCTATTTACCTTGTCACTTTTACTTTCCGCCGTAGGAAATTTAATAGTGACGCCTCCACAATCGTCCATAATAGAATGTATTAGTTTACCTCCAGTACCAATGAGAGAGTTGTAAAACTTTGGTGGAATAGTGATCTCCTCAGTAACAATGTTAGCCTAATATGATAAATATTTTATATACGAACGTATTCAATTTTATTTATTTCACGCATAATATTATATTAATAATTACCAGTTCATTTTGAATCTTTTGTATCATTTCTTTAGCTTTCTCCACGTTTTCTTTTTTTCCAGTGATGGTTATAACATCACTCTTTTCGCCTTCAGCAGGCAAATCGATCTTCGTTTGCGTCTCTTCTCTGATCTGTGTTATATAATTCATATATAAACATGGATACAAGTATAAATGACAAACTATGAATAGTAAAATCTGATACAAACCTTACGAATGTTAACACCGCCTTTCCCAATAACAAACTTATGAAATTGTTTAAAAATAGGTACTTCCAATACATAATTGCTTTCATTTAATTCTTTCACCAACTTCATTAGATATTTATGGCACTTGTCAACGTCTTCTTTGGGTCCTCTGATCTTCACTATATCTCCTTTGTCACCTAAATAGAAAAAGATTCAATTAGCTCATAAAAATTGACAACACAAGAACAACATAAATGTTTTGTTGCAAAATATTACAGAGTTACGCAATAAAATATAATAAATGCTGCATACCTGGTCCAGGTATAGTAATTTGTACTTGATTGAATTTATCTCTAATTTCCTTGATATTATCTCCCTTATTACCAATTATGTTACGGTAATATCTGTGATCGATAATCACGTCCTTTTCTTTTTCATTCTCTAGTTTTTTCACCATTTCTACAAGTTCCTAATTTTGTAAAATAATAACATTAATCTTTCCATCCATTTAACGATCATTACTACTAGATAATAATGTAAATACATACAGTTTGAGCTTTTGATACACCAGCAAGGTTGCCTTCGATACGAATAATGTTGCTGCCATCATTTTCGGAGATGCTGATCACGACACCTGTTCCTTCCTTAACACGATTTACTAATAAAAAAGAAAGGAATTTTAATTAATTTATTCAAGTATTTCTTCTATGTTTACAAATCAAGATAGTACAAATAATTGCAGACATTGAGGATTGAAAATAATTAAATTGCTTACCATTACAACCGTTTTTCCCAATGATATGCTTGTAAAAACGTGGATCAACATTTAATTCCGTGAAAGTAAGCTTAGCTTTAAGATCGTTGGCCATATGTTGTAGCTCGTTTTGTGCTTTCTCCACTTCCTCAGGTGGACCTTCAATCTTGATCTTGTCTTCCTTTCCCGTAAATTCCACGTTTACTTTTGGCATTTCTTGAGTAATTTTCTTGATATTTACACCCTTGCGTCCAATGATATATTTGTGTATCCAAACCGGAGCTTCCACCACAGCAGTGCGTACGCTGTTTGCCTTCTCATATACCTTGTTAAGTGCTGTAAATATAAACGTAATTATTAGTAAAATTATAAATATATTATTTAAAAATTAAATTGTGACTAGCGATATTTTACGTATCTAATTCTCAAAATACTTACCCTGGCCAAGCTTTTCTTGCGGTCCTCTAAGAGTTATGGTACCAGTTGCTGAATCAGGAGCAGGCATCTCTACGCTCACTCCAGTTGTCTGCAATATTTCTGATATGGTACTACCACGCGGCCCAATTACATACTTGTGTTGAGACTTCGGAACTTCTACAGATACGGTGGTACATCTTTTTTCCTGGATTAGAAATTAATATATTACATACATACAAGACACTATATAAATACACACGCGCGTTGTATATATTTTATTATCTTACCATATCTTTGTAGATACTCTCGATTTTTTGCTTTGCTGCTAAAACTCCTTCCTTCTCACCAGCTATGGTTATTTCATCCTGCTGCACTGATGCAGGAGGGATATTGATGCGAGCACCAGTTTCTGCCATCATAGCATTGAGATTCTCATTATGCGCGCCGTATATAAACGGGTGGTATATTTTTGGCACAGTTATCCTTTCAAAAGCTTTCCTAGACTGAAACATTTTACAAAATGGTCAAATATAAATATACTCGATGCATCATATAATTAAAAATATATATATGCATACCATAATTTTTATATAATTTATAATTTTTTACTTTTTTTTTTAAGAATTACCTGCTCATCGGAGATAACTCTAATTTCATGTTCGGCCTTTTCAATGCCTTCCTTCGTTCCTGTAATTGTTATTATGTCTGATTGATCCTGCACACCGGGGACATTAATCTTTGTGGCAGTTTTCTGCTCTAGATCTTTCAGTCTCTGTCCCTGCTTTCCAAGGATCCAACGATGATGATCCTTAGGAATACTAATTTGCTTGCTTGCCTATAAAAAAATAATTAAAATATAATATAATTCATACTTTTAATTGCAAGAATGTAAAAGAAGAAATAATTATATTAAAAATGTTCAGTAATATAAAAATAAATACAAAATATATAAAGTTGCAAATTTTCTCATTTCATATATATTTGCCGAGTATTCTCCAATACATTAATAATAACATTAGAAATACCTGAGTTTGAAATGTTGTTAAGATGCGTCGCTTGGCTTCCAGAACTTGATTTGGCTTTCCAGTTATAAGAAATGTTAGAGACTGATCCTTCGACGATGCAATTTCAATAATCGTGTTTGTTTCTTTCATGATGGTTTTACATGTACGAATAGATTCACGTTCACCAAATTTATCACTGTGATCAAATTTGCGCTCTTCCCCAGGTACGCGGAACAGCTACACAGAAATAAAACATAAAATTCATGAATATAATAAGAGATATTAAAATTATTAAATTTAATTATTTAATAAAAAAAAGTTTGTCAATTAAATTATAAATTTTTATGAATATTTTACCTGTGTAATATTTATACTCCCAAGCTGTAGGCTGTTGTTTATAGAAAATATGTTTAATTGTCCAGAGTTGGAACTGGATGATTCGGGAAGGACAGGGAATGTCTCATCATAAGTAGGTGGCTCATAGGCCGTTCCCTCTTCCATTACTGATTGCTGCTGCATTTTGGGGTTGTCCTGTTTCGTGCCAAGTCCTTACAGTAGCACTACAATATGAATAAAAATATTCCATTCTCTATCTGACAAAATTTTACAAAATAGTACAAATAAGACAATAATACGACAAGACCAATAAATGTAAAGATAACAAAATTCATATTAACTCAAAAATAATCGCGTGAAAGTTTCTCCGTTTTTCCGCGTGAATATATGTTTTTATTTTCCCTAATTTTTTATTTTTCTTTTTTTCAAAAGAATAGAGATTTAAAAAAATTTGCATTTGGAATACCCTCGAATATAAAAACGCTAAAAATGCATAACATGCAATTTATGATATGCGATATTATTAGATAGAAATAATAAGGGTTTTTAAATAGAGTCTAAAAACACCCTTTGCAACCTTTCATGTGAAAAAAAGTACGCGACCTTCCACGCAAAAAAAACCATCGCGATCGTTCCCGGGTTAAATGTATTATATAT